CTGCAAGCAAGAGACATTGTTATATCATAAGTTTGTGTATGTGATTTTAAAATAAAAATAAAATAAAACCAGCCAATTCCTCTGCTGTGAAGCAGCTCTGTCTTCAGGAGCAAATTATTTTCTCTTTTTTGATCAAAAAAAGCCCATATAGATTTGTTTGGGTGTGGGTGTGGAAGGGGGGAGGAATGTTTGGGAGTTTTTTGTTTATATTGTGATTACAGAAATAAGGATGGAAGTACTCAAGTGAGCATCTTATGCTAACTAATTTGAAGTCAAGCTCATTTCTAGTATTACTGTTGATAAAAATGGTTGCTTGTTTATTTCATCATTATCTCCCTTTCCATAGTGTTCAGCGTTTTTAAGGTAAAACTAAAGTAAAACACAATTTAAGAGAAAGGTTTTGACACTCTAGAGAAAGCAGAAACGAAAACCACTTAACAAGGTAGTGATAAAATTAAGATTTTTGTTTTAGGAAAAAAACAAGACTCTTGAAAGATCAAATCATGCCACTCAATTTTAAATCTCTTGATCTGTTATATTACCATTCATATAAAAAAAGGTATCTCGAGTGAGCCAGTTTATTGCAATGGTTCTTAGTAGTTTGTCTTTAGTGGCTGAGATTGCACTTTGTACTTTTGAAAAGACAGGTATATGGCATGAAATGTGAACTCAACTTTCCTGTTAAAACAGAGAGGTTCTGTTCCCTCTCAAGGTTCAGAGTAGTGATGCCTATCATCTCTTCTTCTCTCTGAAGAGAATAAGACTTAATTCCTCTTGTCTTCTCAGTGTGAACAATTTCAGCCTTTATAGTACCTTTCAGCATTTTCAGACAGTGCTTGCTCTTGCTCTTCATGGCCTCGTGCATTTTGAACACCCTCACAAATATGACTTCTCCCTCATGCCACTCATCATCTTTATTCAATTAACCTCTTCCCTCACTTTTACTTGCACTGAGTTCAGGCCAGTATCTGGAAGGTGAATACATGAATGCAGAAATAAATACCATGGACTGTTTGCTATGAACTCAGGCACAAGGTAAAGAAATTTCTTATTTGATATCCAGTAATTTACTTAGAGCAACCTATACTTTGTACAATGAAGAATTACAGAGCTGACAAAGAAACTTTGGGTTTTGTTTGTTCCTTGACTCGAATGGTGTTAAGCTCCTATCTCATTGTTGGCATGGTTTTGTATTTGTAATACTGATAATGATTCTGCAGAGGCATAATCTCCTAGAACAGTGTCATCTGGTGGTGGTTGTAAGTCACAACATCTAAATAGAAAAGTAAAATTAGCAATCAGATCAGGCTAGAAAAATGCTCTGATTATCTATTTTATTTAGATTAAAGCTTTTAGGGTTCAAATCACAGGACTATAATGAATTCACTTTGCACAACTGCTTCTCATTCTGTAGGTTGCAGGTATAATGAGTTGCCACAATTTTCACTGTCAGGTAATGTGCTGTGTTTTGTAACATTTGTATTGAAGTAAAGATCAAAATACTTCCGAACTGAAAATTATTACCTGTGCAACTGTGCATTATATACTCCCTGACTACTTTAACACCAACAATAATATTTTGATTTTTATGAGTAGGAGTAGAAACTGCAAATATTACTAATTGCAACATTCTGTAAACTGTGTGCAAAGAACAGTAGTTTGTACAGAAGTTCTGGAGAGTAACTCCTGTTACATGACAAGCGCTCCTTCATTCTTAAGTGTTTTTTACTCTACTACCAGTTCTGAACTTGAAGAGGCACTCAGTGGGATTACTTGAGTTTAAAGTTAAGCAAATTGTTCAGCAAAGAGCAATCTGAATGTTTGTGAGCAATCTGAAATAACTTGCAAAATAAAACTGTCCAGCTCCTGACTGTCTACATCTCCCTTGCAGCAGGCTCTAGTTCTCAGGGGAAACTCAGCACAGTAAGTCAGAGAAATTGTTGTTTTGCCAGGTTAGTTTTCTGCAGACTGAACATGCACAAATGACTAAGGAGATGATCTCACAAGCACTGAAGCTAACAAAAGGCAAGGAATGAGAAGGCAGGCATGTGTGGGCTGGTGTTGCTGACAATTAGAAAAATCTAGACTGGCATAAGAGTAGTTAAGAGTAGCCTTTTACCCAATACCCTTTCCCAAAGAAATACCTTAATGACTGCTATAGATTGAATTTAAACAACCTTTATTCTTAATTATCTACCATAATGAGTGCCTTTTGCGAGTATACATTTATCTTTTGCAGACAGTACCATGACGTCATATTTCTCCCTTGTAATCTGTTAACTGGTGTACTTAAGGAATATAAAAAAGGAGGGGCATATCTTCACTTTTAATTACTTCTTTTAATTTTACAAATAAATCTGCTAGGATCAAATCAACCCTTTAGAAATAAGGTATCATTCAGTTAAATATGGAATTTTGACATTCTTTTTGTAAGAATGTAGTTTGAGACATTTTCCCCAGGATTTCTGTAGGGTTTAGAGTAAACGCTTTGTATGTTTCAATATGTTTCAATCAAACTTGCTCAGATGCTAAAACATTTAAATCCCATTTACAAAGCTTATGATAGAGTTTTGCAGAGTTATCATACATATCTTCAGAATCTGGATACTGCTACTTAACGAGGGATTCCACTTTGTATTATTGGAGCAATACTAGACACATAGCTATGTATCACAAAAGATACCAATTCAGGAGCACAAAAATTCACATTCTGTTTTTTTTTTAATGCCACCAATCTATATGTGATTCAATGATATCTACAAATATTATTTCATCTCTTTCTAAAACCCAGGTTAGGCACCTCCTGTTATGAACAGGGGGTGATTAAGCACCTTGAAATTTACACAAAGACCTGCTGTAGTAAAAAAAGTCCTCTAGAAAATATCCATTTATCATATGATTACCAGATTAGTGTTATTACAACCCATTATCAGAGTTTCAACTAATAAATCCCCTTACCATTTTCTGTAGTAATTAAGAATTTAGTGTAGGAAAAAAATACTTATTTTATCATAGTTTCTCATCTCATATTTGTTCTATTCCACACAGTCTTTAGTCCTACAAAAACATCAGTACATGAGAAACGCTCACAACATACCATTTCAAGCTTTATATTTTCCAAGGAAATAATACAGAGCTCTCTTTTGTGTTGTATACATTTTAGGAATGAATTCAAAAAGCTGTGCTTTGCTATTTGATAGCTACAGGAGCTAGTGTCCTTTCAATTATGCATCTGTCCATCAAATTCACATATTACGTTATTGAAAGTTGTTAAAAGGTTTCCCAAAGCATTCACTGGCCAATGCTCCTCTCACTTGATAATCTCTGAATTTTACCGCCACGCTGCTGCATGTCATATTTAGAGGAAACAGAGGCTACCTCGCTGAAGCAGAAAATGTTTAATTTTTATGGATGCAATAAACTTAATTGCCCATTTTATCTTATTTCCTTATGGACTGCTATTCAGATGGTTTTGTCCTTTTAGTTCCGGGGACTTTTCCTACAATTCTGTTTCAACCTACAGGAAAGATACCCTACAAATCTTCAAGATACTTACCTGGCTATTACAGCTTGTAGGTTCAGATTAACTCTTTTGAACGTGTTTGAAGTCAACAGTTATTCTCAACAAAAATCAGTAGAGTCTGCAAGTCACTGCTGTCATCTGAAGTATGCATATTAGTCTTAACAGGAACACACAAACAAAAGGGTCACTACCAGTCACAGTTTATCTACAACTAAACAGATTGCAAAAAAAGATTTTTATTTTTTTAAAAAAGTGGTGGTTTTTTTCTGCTACATTAAACAAACATAAAAATATGTTTGTTTAATGTAGCAAAAAAAAACCCCTTGGAAAACCAGCAGTTTATTTTTGCTATAGATTTATCTTGATTATTTTTTTAGTTTGTGTAAAAGAAATTGGAAAATTATTTCCTATCCACTTCCCCCCACCCCCCTAAAATTACTTAGAGATTTCAGGAGTGTATTTCAGTGAAAACATTTCTGGGCATTTGTGATTATTGCATACAGCCTCCCTAGTAGGAAGCTTTACAGAAGAACATGTGGTTCATCGTTTCTTGCAAACAGCACCATGTATTTTTTTAGACTTCATGCAATGTCATTGTCAACACAGTAAATTTCAAAATCCCGTTGTTGGAGAATGAATGCTGGCTGCTGCTGACAGCCCTCTGCACGTACATTCGCAGCACTGAACATACACACACACGCACAAAAGTCATCCAACAAGGGATCTAAAGCCAGAAGTTTTAACCTTGCACAGCCAAGAACATTTCTGCCATAGACTCGGGGAGACAGTAGTAACAATACTAGCAAACACTGCCATTTCACCCTCAATGATACTTTAGTTGTAACAGTGTCTCTCAGGTTTACAAACAGAAAGCTACTCAAAAAAAAAAAAAAAAAAAAAAAAAGTCGCGACTTTCCTATTAGCAGATACGTGCCCAGGCAGCTTCAAAAAGGGACTATTGGGCATTTTTTAGTCGGAAGCTTTCACAAGCCTCCATTTTGTTACCTTGCTGTCGGGTTCTTCGGCTTGTGAAAGCTTGTTCTCGACACTATCGCTGACCGACTCAGGAGGACTCTCACACAAGGCCTTACAGACCCTCAGGGTCAGCATTTTGGCAAATCGAGGGTCTCCGTGGCGGTTTAAGGTACGGAATCAAACGGCTACGGCGGCGGAAAGGCGCAGCGAGGCGGCAGCTCTTACCGCTCTGTTTTTCCTCCTTCCGGATAGAAGCGGTCACTCCTCCGCCTGCTACATTCCCAGGACGGAACCGCCTCCCTCGCCCTCCGGGAGAGACGGAGAAAATGGGGCCAGGCAACACCACTTTGCCCCGCCACAGTCCTGGCGCCCAGGGCCGCTCAGGCTGCACATCCGCCCGGGTTGTGGGAGGAGTACGCCGCGCATTGCGTTCGGAAGTTTGTGCCTCGCCGCACACCGTGCCGGCCGAAGCGCTCGGCTCCACGTTGGCTGCGCAGGCGCAGCGGTCGCGGATGCCTGTGCCCCGCGGAGGGGGTCCGAGGGCGGGGCGGTGGTGGCTCCGCGGGCCGGGGCGAGGGGAGATCGGTTCCGCCGCCCCCTGGGCGCCCCTTGCCGTCTGCCCAGCCGGCCCGGAAAGCTGTACTCTCATCCCCTTCTCCCTCCCGCCACCATGTTCAAGAAGCTGAAGCAGAAGATTAGCGAGGAGCAGGTGCTGCCGCGCGGAGCGGGTGGACGTGCGAGCCCCCTCCCACCGCAGGTACGGCGAGGAGGGGCCGCTGGGAGATGTATCCGCCGGACCGTTGTGGGCGCTTGTGACGGCCTTTCCCCTGGCGGGGCGAGGCCGCGCTTCGCCCGGGGAGGCCTTGGTGTCCTGCGGGTCGGTCGGGCAGGCCTGCGCAACGCGACCCTCCCGCGGCTGTTGCTGCGGCGGCGGGCCCCAGTCCGACCGAAGGCTCCGGCGGGAGTCGCTGCCCGGGTCGCTTGCAGCGCGAGGCGGCTTCGCTAGAACTTCGTCATCTAAGTTTTTACTGATTCTCCTCCTGCTAGAAACCGTGCTTCGTTTTGTCCACTCTACAAAAGCTGTCTTGTGGAAGAATGTAAAAACATCTCTTGCCTGAGCATCGAACAGAATGAAACAGAAATGGGTTTCTTCCTTGGCATTTGAAGTAATGATACTTTCACGTGTAGTGAATAACAATCCAGCATTGAGTTCCCTAGTTATCGCTAGTCTGTCGTTTTAATGCTTGTTCTTTCAGTTCTGTATGTCTCTTCTGTTAACATCTTTTGGAGGGCTGGTTTGCTTACCTCAGCCTTATTTTTGCATTTTTTTAAACTGTAGATTAATTGAGAATATAGTATAAATCTGAGAACGAGGTACTTATTTATTTGTTCTAGTCATAATTTAATTGGCCATTTTCCTCTCATATGTACTTTATTTCACTAAGTTGTTATAAATGTATTTTAGTAAAGGCTATTTTTAAGTGTTAATAATACACACTAGATAGGACATGTGTGCAGAGTGTCTAAGTGAAAGTGGCCAAAAATAAGTTGTGATGATTTCATGTATGTGTCAAAGCAGAATAAACTCTCTCTTCACAAATTTTGGGTAGAAAGACTTCAGCAAGTTAACTTCCTATTGGCCAAGTCTGCTGATAATGTCTGCCTGTGTCTTATTGCTAGGTTAAGTATCCTGTGTATCTTGGAATGTAAAAGTATAAAAACTAATATAAACTCTGAATCCTGTGAATGTTAAGCTACAGACAGGTAATTTAGTTAATTTGACAAATAGGTGATTAGTTGCCTGGGCTTGATTTGAGTGTAATTTGAACCACTGGGAGATTTGGCAGTGAATAGTCACAGTATTGGACCATGGTTTCAAAACTGACAGTTATGTTCTGTTCTTTGAATCACTCATTTTTGGAAATGGATCTATTGTGAAATTTTGTATAGCTTGTTGGGTCTTACTTTAAGGCCTTCCACAGTATTAATTCTGTGCCTTCTCTAGTTATTGAAGTATGTTTTTGTTAGTTACAGTTTTAGAGTGCTTTCTTAATTGCCATATGTGGTGAGCTTTCAGTGCAGTGCAAAAGAGATTGATCTGCAGAGTTTACTGTTTTCAATGTACAGCAGCTAAATTATGACACCTTTCACACAGCACTGTAATACACGTAGTTCAGGACATTGTAATCCACTTAGTTCGGGATGCTCCGTGCACATGTTCAAGAGTTGATACTTCCTGAAAATTATTCTACTGAATAAATATGGTCTTATGTGCATATATGCACCCAATGGCGTAATATACTTTAGTCTTTATCTGCCTCTTGAAAAATTAATGTTGACAAATCTCGTAGCTGCAGTCTGCTACGAGAGTTTATAGTAAATTATACCTAGTCTGTTGACCTAGTCTGCTGTACTATGCACAAAGCAGATTATGTAACTCAAAGGTTGACATAAATGGAAAGGGAGAAGCAAGAAATTATAACATATTTTTTTTTGTGTGTAAAATAGTTGTCTTGCAATGTTTCTTACTCTTTGGTTGCTCTCAAGTAACACTAGGGGAAATAGTTAAATTTGATCTTAGAAGTAAAATAAGTTTGTCTTTTCATGTCTTGTATTTCATTTGAAAACAGTCTTTTAAGGAAGAAGTGAGGTTTTGAGGATTATAAAATATACTGTAGTCTTGTAAAAAGTGTGGGATATGCTTTTTTCCTTTGCTTTTATTCAGATCAGTAATTCAGATTCTTAAAATGCATTCCTTCCTGTCAAAACATTTTCAGACCAAATTTTTCTAACTCTTACAGTTTCTCAGTTTATGAAACTTATGTTTGCATTAATTTTTGCTCTTTTCTTTTCTATACCCTCTTGTAGAGAGGCTTCACTCACTATGCTCTATACCTTCTATACTCTATTCATATTCCTTACTTTGAGACCTAGAACTTCACATTTGTACTTTGGTTTGTAGTGTCCAAGACTAAATTTACAAACTTAAGACTGGTGTAAACCTGGAGGTAAAATTTTTCAAGTATAACTCAAGAAATATAACCTTGTGTGAGGAGGTGTTTGTAGGCCTTCCTCTTTCACAGCTAACTGATGTCATCTGTCAAATTGAGAATACCCATCCTTCATAGTCTGAGGAACACATCTCTTTCTGATGGCTGACAGGGTGGAAAAAAGCGCTGTTACAATTACAGGTGTCTTAAACTGCTACTTGTCCAAGATTGTCACCTGACAAATAGGGATGAAGAAAAAATGGAGACAGTCAGTACTTTGCCTCAGTTTTTAATAGTACTGACAGACCTTGGTCTGCCTGGTTCTGAGTCAGAGGACCATGACTGCAGGAACATTAACTTTCCATTTGTGAACACTGGAATTTTAACAGACAAGTTATGTTGTGTCACTTGAATGAATGTTTATAAGTTCATGGGGCCTATGGGATTCAACCCAGGATACTAAAGGAGCTAGCAGATGTTGTGGTAGGACCCCTCTCAATCATCCTGGGAATCTGCAGAGCTAACCAGGTTACTGGAAGGGCATGAGGGAGTATGCAGGAAACTACGGAGTTAACCTCAGAACCTGGAAAAATTATTAAGAAAATCATACTGTATGCTGTTGAAAGAAAAGAACAGTGCAATTATCAGTCAACCTTCTGCAGTAAGTTCACCTGCCTGCTAGACAAAGGGAAGGTGGTGTATGTAGTTTTTCTGGGTTCTATAAAGGCTTTTGGTACTGTTCTTCCCAGTGTTCTTCCAGACAAGTTTTCCAACAGTAGGGTGAATAGGTATGCAGTGCACTGGGTGATGAGTTGGTTGAAGAGCAGGACTCAAATTATTGCAGCAAACAGGACATCTGGCTGGTGACCAGTTACCAGTGGTGTTCCTCAGGGCTCAGGTCTAGAGGCAGTTCTGTTCAGACTCTTTATCAGTGATCTGGAGGCTGCAGTTGAATGCTCAGATAGTTAGGTGAAGTGTTCCTGATTCTCTCATGGGACAAGAGGCTTTGCCTTGCAGAGGGATTGATTGGAGTATTGAGCAGTCACCAGTGATATGGAGCTGAGCAAGACCAACCAAATGCTGGATTCTGCACCTGGATGGGGTAATTCCACACACAGGTCTGAACTGGGAGAGGGGTGGCTGGAGAGCAGCCCTGCAGAAAGGGCTTTGGGAGTGCAGGTTGGCAGGAAGCTCAATGAGAACAGCAGGAGTGTGTGCCCTGGCAGCCAAGGGGACAAACCTGATCCTGGGGTGCATCAAACACAGCATCACCAGCCAGCCAAGAGAGGTGATTATCCCGCTGAATTCAGCACTGGTGCAGCCTCACCTTGAGTACTGTGTGCAGTTCTGGGCCCCACTATTTAAAAAGGATGTGAAGGTCCTTGAACATGTCCTGAGAAGAGCACCAAAGCAGCGGAAAGGGCTGACAGGAATGTGCTCTGGGCACTGGGCTTGTCTGGTTTGGAGAGGAGGAGGCTGAGGGGTGACCTCACTGCTCCCTACAGCTTCCTGAGGAGAAGTAGAGAGGGAGGCACTGAGCTCTTCTCCATGGTATACAGCGCCAGAACATGCAGGAATAACTCAAACTGTGTCTGTCATGGGAGATTTGGACTTAACATGAGGAAATACTCTTTTACCCAGAGGGTGGTCAAAACATGGAATAGGCTTCCTGGAGAGGTGGTTGGTGCCTTCCCCACCCTTGCCTGTCAGTGTTGAAGAGGCATTTGGACAGTGCCCTCCCTTAAAGCCATGCTTTAACTATTAGTCAGCCCTGAGCTGGTGAGGAAGTTGAACACTTCCAATTTAACTATACTACCCTGTTTCAGCTCTTTTTGTTTTTGCATAAGATCAATGGATATTTGTGCTGCAAAGCTTAGTGCTACTGAAATGAGTGTAAATTGACAAGAAGTCTGAATGCAGCAGTGCAAACTGTAGAACTGTTAAGGGCAGGGTGAAGAGATGTGTTCATACTGCTTCTAAGCAGTGACAAAGTATCCTTGAATGTTTCTGGCCCTCACTAAACAGAAGGAAATTGATTTTCAAATAATCCTTAAAACCCTGGCATTAGATTGAGGGTAGGAATAAAAGAAGAGTAATAGTCTGTCAGCATTAGATTGGGTTTTTTTTGCAAACCCTATGAATACTTTGGTATGATTGTTTTCAGCAGTACATAAAGCTTTTAATGATGAATAGCTATTTGGTACTAGGTAAGCTGTTTGACTTTTGAGTGGTATTTTCAAGTTGGGACATTGGCCTACCTCTAGACCTGTAACTATGACTGCTTTTAGAATAATTTTGATGTAAAATAGAACAAATATATCTACCACTCCTGGTTCCAGCAGTGTTCAGCTGATAGAAATTTCATGAAGAGGTAGGGTCAAAACATGCATGTGCTTGCCTTATATCCTTGGTTAAGTACCCCTGGGCCCTTCCTGCAGGTGGAACTTCTGGTCATCTGACCACTCTGGGCCTGGATTTAGGTTCCAGGGGCAGAGTATGGCACATTTCCTCTGATGTGCCATGTATTGGCAGCCACTGCAGGACTGGGATACAGGTCCAGAGGCATGGGGTCTGTGCAGGAGGGCATCACCTCATCAAAGAAAGACCTGACCTTCCTCTTCCTCCCACCACATGCCTGAAATATTTTAAGTCCACAATCCTTCCAGCCTTTCGCAATACCTGATGAAAAATCTTGCTAATTATTTTCTTTTGTATGGATCTGCTTGTTGATACTTTACTACTCATTACATTTATACTGAAATTTTATATTTGAAGTTTGAATGATGAGGCTGGCTAGGTAGTTTGTTTGAATTGGTGTGACTTTTTAGAACCTCAATTTGAATGAAGTTGTAAAATTTCTGTGAATAGATGTTTAGTTCTGATAGAACAACAAGTACATATAGACATCAGAAAAATATAGCAATTTCTTGTGCCCTTTTCATTGCTTAGATTCAATGTTACCAATATTGCAAATTTAACATTTATAAATTTTCTTAGTGTCATTTTTTGTTGTTAATTTTCTAAGTTCTTGATCAGATTCTGTTCCACTTGTAAATGCTTGAATCCCTGTCAAATCACAAAACTTTTAAACCTTAAGCAATTGTAATATGTTCCTAAAATATTAGGAGTCTTGTTTTTCAAATATGGTCTAAGAGGACCGTAGTCAGAAATAATCAAAATAACCATTTTGTTGTTTGTTCGTGTGGCTGATTCATGGCACATTTTGCTCTGGGAACTTTTAGTAAGGTACAACTTGTCACAGACAGTTGTTTTTTTCAAAAAGAGCTAGACTATGCTTCACTGAGATGACATAGTTAGTAATTCTTGAAGTAAATTATAATACAGAATAATTAGTTCTGGAGTTAATAGTATTACTTGTTGATATACATGATTTCTCTATAGGTCCCTTCCAGATCCCCTCCATCAACTGGCAACAGAATCAGGACAACTTCGTTTACAGATCAGAATCATGAAGGTACTTTAACACCAGACAAAGAGGTCAGTTGAGAACTGTTTTTCTCTGCTTTTCTGCTTAAAAAACCTAACTTTATGTCCTTCATTACATTTTTTTTTTTATTTCTCAATCTCACTATTTTCTGTGTATTTATAGATATGAATAGTCTATTTTTAGGTTAAATACCAAAGTGTTTAATAGTAATAAAACAGATATTTAAGCTGTAGCGATTAACTCCCAGATTAGGAAACTCTTTCAGTCTTCACGTCTTAAAAATCTTATTCCTGAACTGAACTCAGTGAGGTAGTGGGACAGAGGATATATTCAGAGAGACTAACTTAGTTTTTGTCCCACTTTTGGTTGAAAAGCTACGTGAGTCCAGGTAATTTGAGGTGGATGATCCAAAAGGTTTATACAGAGCCTTTGTGATTTTTTTCCAACCATGCCTGTAATAGGTATCAAACTCAAAGGTATTTCCCCTACCCCACTTCCTTTCTCCCTTGCCCCCAAACTTAAAACCAACCCAGGCCCCCTCACCTCCCCCTCCAAAAAAAACCCCCGAACAACAGACTAAACTGAGTCTAATTTATCAGTCATAAATTATCATTAAAATCATTATCAGCATGATGTGTAACCTTGACTTGCATAATAAAGCAAACAAAGAAGATTATCTGCACTTACCTTGTTTCATATTAAGTACAATGGCTCTTTTGAAGTGACTTGATTTAAAAAAAAAAGCAACAAATACAAATAAACAAAACATTTCCTGACTTGGTGAGCATGGACATAGACTGGTAGCATAAAGCAGGATGCTTCTGTGATTCTGTGAACTTTTTCAGAGGAAATGTTGTGTCCTTGTCAGAAAATTCAGTTGCTTTGTTTTGCCACAAAAAATTATGTGTTTTCTTGCAGTTGAACAATCCACTTTAATTTTTAACACAATTTTTTCTTTAGGAGATAATCAGCTATACCTGAAATTTGCAATGGATTTCATTATGAATGCTATCAGTGATAACAGCTTGGCAGTTTGCTTCCTGCAATAATAGAAATTGAAGGGAAAATACCTCATGATTTTTGTATTTTGGTATTTTGTAATAAATGCTTATTTTCTCTACTGTGAGATATATATATATATATGTATATGCATGTTTGTGTGTGTATGTGTATGTATATACGTCTGTAATGAATTCCCTCTCTCCTTAGAAAAAGATTTTCTGTTAACTGGTGATCCAGAGTGTTAGCAAGCAGCATCACCCAGGATAAATTGCTAAGTTTTTCAGTAAGGAGAGTTTTCTGTTCTTAATACAGGGTATAGAAATAGCATATTGCCACATGAGAACTACTACCATGGCCGAGAAGGAGTGAGTTGGTACAGAGGGTTGATTCCCCTGTTTTTGGGGTTTTTTTTTATTTATTGTATAACCTGCAAAAGAACTGATTTGGTGAAGGTTTTCTTTGTGATTTCTATTGAGAAATACATTTACTTCATTAGATATGTGTTGTCCCCAGAACACTCCATTTTCAGAGTGCTGTTCCGGACAAACAACAGAAGCAAAGGATTCTCCATAGCACTTGCCAAGTTACATTGGAAGAACATTAATCTCTAAATAGACTGGTTAGACTGGAATGAGCAGAGAGGCAGAAGGAGAAATAAGATTAAGAATGGAAACAGAGGTACTAAAGTACCATCAGATTTGCACTTAAGCTTGGACTTAGGGGAGCTGCCATCACAAGTTTTACTTGGGAAACACATCCTTTAATTAGAAATTCAAGAAGTAATGAGTAGTTTCATCATAAGGGGATGAAAACCTCTTTTTTTTTGTTTTATATAAAATGGAATATTTTACAAAAAAATTAAGTTTAAATTATTAAAATAAGAAATTGAATTTCTTCAAAAATTTCTCATAAAAGTTGGCAGTATGGTTAAAAACAAATCATCTTTGAAATCGGTTGGATTAGATTTTCATAAAATTCAGTTCAGCAGCAGTATACAATGCTTAAATAAGATGCAGGTATTGCATATTGTCAGTAAAAATACATGCCCTGATTATATGAATGCATTAAGTCTTTTGGAGGGTATTTTTTTGAGGTGTTCTCATTTGACCAGGCAGTTTTTTTATGTGCAGGAGTCAATGGCAGTGGCATTATAGTGAGCTGTTGGACAGGATTTAATACGCTGAAAATATTTGATTGAAGAGTATTGTATGCTAAAACATTTTTGCAGTACATGAATAATTGCTAACCCTTTTAGTATTGAAAGCTAAGCAAATTAGTGTTTCATCATTTTTTGTATGTTTTGTGTCCTCTGTGAGCTATGTTTTAGTATGTCTTTAAATAGATCAGGTTTTGTATTTTTAGTTCCATGGTATTAAAGTTGCAAGTATCACACATGAAATCTTTGGTTTATTCCCAGAATATTTTTATAATAAAAATAATTTCAGAATTAGTTACAGTTGTAAATGACATCATTAGTCTGATCAAATAATTATAATAAAATATATGTGCCAACATTCTTACTTTATACTCTACAATGAGAAGATTTAAAAAATACTTTTAATATTTCAAGATTCCAAGATGCTATCAGTTTAAAATAAACCTACAACTTGTATGCTCCATTTATGTAATGCCAGGTAAGTTTCTTTTTCATGTCAGCTTTCCTCTTCAGCTTGTATTTTATTTGATATGTGAATCTCCAGTAGCAGTGTTATAGAAAGCCTCAAAATTTTTTCATGTATAGGAAAAGGCAGACGTCTGACTACTTCTGTATTCTCTTATTGCAAGCAGCTCGTAAAACATGATCACATTGTGAGGTAAAACTACTTCTGCAGAGCTTCATCAGACAATTTGCATATCCAGTGCTTTCTGATTTGGTGTGCTGCTGTTTGAAACAGCCCTAGACTATTAAAATATGCTTATTTAGTGAGTTCATTCTTTTTTGTGGAAAAATAGTGTTCAGTTTTCAAACTGTTACCATATTGACTTTTGAAACAGTTTGAGGTGAAATACATGAATCATATTCACTATAGCTTCTGTAAGTTAAAAATGTTCTTTTTGTTCTACAATATTATACTTGTTTACAAGTATCCAAGGCCAAACTGCAGAAGATAACAAAGCTAGTGGCAGTTTGCTATCAGTTGAGAGCAAGCAGCTGATAGATTGCTGTGGGTGACCTACCAGTCATGCATCCAAATGTCACTGGTATCCTAATGAGTGTTATGGAAGTGCCAGCAGAGCACAATATATATAGCACTTAGACCTAAAGATACTTAGCCAAGGTACTTTTTGGTCTCACTTTAATAGTGTATAATGACTGTGTTGTTAAATTAGTTGAAATATTTCTTTAACATTGGCTATTAATAAAGCATGACAAGTAAAGCTGAAATAATATTCCTTTAATACTTTTGTTATTTCTGTGTCTTTTCTGTATTCTTGTATTTTATTTGAAGAACTTCTAAATAGATGTTGCTGTGCAAAGATGGTAGTGGTTCAGATATATCTGTATTTTTTTTCCTTTCTGATATTTATGACTAATTTTTGGAGGCTGCATAAGTTAGTTTGAATCTAAACTACTTGTATTTTACAACTCCTGATACATACAGGATACTTAGATGCTTAGGTGGCTCATCAAAATGAAAAGCAAACCAGAAAAGACCTATTTGATTTCTGTACTGCAGCTTTGTGAAAGTGCAGCTCAGCTCTTCTAGATTCTGGAACTTTCTTTATTTCAGAGAGAAACTTGTAATTTTAGCTCCTCAGTTTTTCCTATTCCCTTAGGACAAATAACCAAATTTATTTATATATTTTACTCTGGGGAATGAGTTCTTTTTAAGTAAGAGTTGAAACAACACCTTTAGCTGATAGTTGACATCTTCTAGCTACTTGAAGTAGATGAGGAAGTGGTGGCTTTTTGCTTAGACAAGTTTTGTAGTCTCATCCTCTTTCTTCTGTCTTGCTGTGCTGGTATATAACATAGCAAAACTGCTCATGTACAGTTATAGAAACTTTTAAATGTTAACATTCTACAAATACACGTATGCCATGATGCACTTTGCTAACAAGATGTATGAATTTTCAAATTTGCTTGATAACAGGCTAATACAAAATTTGGAACTACTGATTCTCTTCTTTTTCTGAAAGGGAATAATGATTACCTTTGGCAATCAAACATATTACATGCATGTAATATGCATAATATTTACCTACTGCCATCTCCAGAGCAATGAGACTTGGGTCAAACTCTGATCCCTGTTAAATTTTGGGGTTTCTTTCACAGCATATTAAGGAAGCTGTTTGATCTAGGAATTGCATGTACTTTGGCCTTTGCACCCTGCTCACCGTAATCCTTGTGAAGGAAGATTTGAGCATGGTAATTCTTCAGAGGAATGAGGAATAATAATACTAATAAGAACACAGTCATTTCTGGAGTTCAGAAGGTCCTTAAAGATCAAGTAAGGCTGCTTCATTTAGGCCAAACTTGAGGGCTACAGAAACTCTGCAGAATGTTGAAAATACAAAGGTTATTTAAACAATAACAATATGTGTCCTTTGATAATACTAAAGGCAATGTCATCTGGCATTTGGCTTCATCTACCATTTTACCTTATTTACAGCTTTCTATCCAAGATAGAAACGTTTGTTACTTAGAAGGATTTTACTTGCAGAAAAACAGAATAAGACTTAAATATTGTGACAGAAGTTCAGTAATGTCATAGTTTGCTAAGGAAGCATTCCTCTTTGACTTGCCATGAGCCACTCTGGCAGTCACGCTCGTATCACCCTAGGCTTTTGCTGCTGGGACTGAAGCACGTTCACCACAAGCAGCTCCAGTGAGATGATGGGTGCCCCACCTGGCTCCCCACACTCTCATACAGAGACAAATTTCATGACACTCACATGTCAGACAACTTTCCCTCACTGCCTTGACCGAAGGTTTCCCATAGCAGAGTCCTAGACTCTGCTTTCTTTAAGAATTTTTATCATGGTGCAGCAGTGTAATAACAGATGGAGTTGGGTGTCTCCTTTAGGGGCCCTGAACAAAGGAATG